TTATTGTTATTATTATTGTGCCTGATACTGCAGTCTGGAGGTTGGAAACTTCTGCTTTTCACCCCTGAATTTTTTAATCATCCCACTGCTTCTGCTGCCTTCTTCCTTTCTTTATGTCCCTTCCTCCATGACTCGGGTGTCTTCTTCCTGTCTCTGAAGATTTCTCCTCAACCTCCAGGCTCGCCTACCTCTCATACAGCAGCAGACCTGCACCGCGCCACCCCTACATGTCTATCTCCCTCCACTTGCCCGGGAATGGGACCCACCAATACCACCGTAACCTCCACAGCAGCTTCCATGGTAACCTCTATGGTAACCCCGGCCGATCTTCCCACCATCACTGCCCTGACTACAGCCCCTTCCTCAACTGCAGGTCCACAGCAACAGTAGACAGTGGATTTCAGTGACAACAGAAACAGAGGCGGTAAAACATGATACAAGACTACAGAAGTGGAAGCAGAGATGGATGTTGGAGAGTTGGTTTAGCTGATGAACTTAAAAACAACAACAACAGATGCATTCCTGCAATTACAATGTAAAAATCAATCTATTGGACTATTTTCAGACACACACTTGAACACTCATTCTAAATGCATTGTAGCATTTACACTCCGTATCGGTGAAACAATCTCATGAATATTTTTCATATCTCAATGTGTATCTGCATCTGTATGAATCATCCGGCTGTTTACCGAGCTCTGTTTTTCTTTCCATTGAGCCATCTAAGTGCCTTTCCAGCCGTTCTCAGCAATCATCACGACGAGAAACATTAACACCTTCCCTCTCTTTCACTTCCTGTTTTCCTGTTACACAGTACCAGTACTTGTGAATGTATTTACCTTTCAGAACCAAAAAAATCCATTGAGGATATATTTAAAGCCAGAGGAAAAGATTTCCTGCAGGTAATCGGGCATTACAGGGTTCTGTCTTGCAATCTGTGAGTTTAGGCTGAAAAGATTAGGGTATTTTTAGATAAAAAACATGCTTACTACAGCTTTAATCAAACAGCTAAGCCACACAGTGTGCTAATTTAGTATCAAAAATTATCTGTATTATTGTAAAATGCTTTTTCTCTTTCAAGCTCCCACTAACTTCTGTTGTCTGTACTTCAATTCAGTGGATTAATTGTGTTGAATGAATTTCAGAAATGGCTTGCTTGCTTGCTGTTTGTCAACTTCGCCTGCTCAGTGTTTTTCTGTAAACATGTAGCCAGCATTGAACATAAAAACTCTGACCTCTTTGTATATATGCCTCTTGTGTCTTTGTGCATTTGCGTGTCATGTACAGTATGTGTGTGTGTGCATGTACATTTGTGGCTGCACATACGTATGTATGTATATGTTGCTCTCTCTGCAGAAGCTGGTAAATCCAGTGTTTATTGTTGCTAGTGAAATTATGTGACTATGCTTTGCTCAGCGCCTTGTTTACTGTACAGTAGATGGTATTTCTGCACCGTCTGGCATCACTGTACCTTAGCTGCCTCAGTCTCCGGAAGCTTTGGCCTTTGAAATGCTTATATTACAAGTGTCTCAATCCTTTTATTATGAAAGGTATGAAAGCTGTGTTGTTTTTGAGACAGGATGGAAAGGATAATACCACAGCCGTAGAAATACTTGTTTCTGATTGACTGGTAGGTGCCCTTTAAGGACATATAATAGGACACCTCAGACACCTTTCCAGCCAACCACATCAACCAACGCTGGTAACCATAGCAACAATGTTTCTGCTTTTTGCTACGCCACTGTTGAAATGATGGAATAATAAAAAACATGAGTTAATTTGACTATAAACAAACATTAAAAATTATAATTTGCAAGTAGCACAGTGAGTGGTAGTTGTACAAGAATAAAAAGTACACTCCTGTATTGTTTTTGTATGTTAGGACACCTAAAGTGTTGCTGTATTATCGCTTATGTAAACAGTTGGTATTTTTAGTCATTGTGGTAAAGATTATTCAATAAAAACGTATACAAGAATCATAAAACGTTTACATCAGTGGAATGAGTTCAATGCAATGGCAGTGAGTATGGGTTTAGAAAATATCAGTGGTGGATAGTTATGCTTTTTCAGACACTTTTTATCTGTGTAAAGAAGCTGATCAGGTGAATATAATGAGTGGAGACGATGACAGAGACACTAATGGAAACTTGTAAGAAGAAAAAAATCTAGACTGTTCATAATGAAGGCTTTCACATGCAAATGCAGAAACCATGTTGTATATTTTACCGGATTATTTATAGTTGTTCAGATGCTTCAGTGCTGTATGTTTGTTGGGTTTCTTTGAAATAAAATGGTGTGATCAAAACCAGACATTTTGGCTTGCTGCTGTCACACAAACACACCCTTACAACTGCAAACTATCACTGTCAATCTATGGAAAGTATATATAGAAACACAAGGAATCTTAAAGTCTGACAGTCACCAGGCTGTGAGACAGCACCAGCTAGAGGCTCGTATACTTTGTAACCTCAGTGAGGAACGCCCCTTCCAAGCAGTGGTCAGAAGTGCGGCCTTCATGCTCTTATTTATATGATATACAACATGGTGTATCAGCTGGAAGACTTGAAAACATGTCATGTTTCACATACTGATGCCTCGATATGACCAACATAAACAAACAATACCATCCGTGAGAAGTGACAATGCCTGCCACCGGGTCAGATTCCCCCTTGAAATCAATTAAGCAAGGCAGTAGAAACACCAACACAAAGACAAACAAGTTTCTTGTAGGGACTTTAGTTAAAAGTAGCAATACTACAGTGTAAAAACATCATTCAAACTCTTACTAAAGTAAAAGTACAAATGTATTAACATCAAAATATACTTAAAGTACCAATGATATGACCTTATGTCTGTAATTCGAATATCAACAGCCCATGTCTCACTATATAAGGTGATTTATATGCATAGTGGCGAGTTATTGTACGTGATGTATGTGACAGGTATTCAATTAATTCACACTGAGAAACAAACCTGAATTTGAGGAGGAGAAACACGATATGAGACTGATCAAAACAACAACAACTGATGTTTTTCTGTAATTGCAATGTAAAAATCGATTTATTGGAATATTTCCTGACACACACTTGAATACTCATTCTAAATGCATTGCATGAATATTTTTCATGTCTAGTTTTCCTTCCCATTGAGCCATGTGACATAAATGCCTTTCCAGCTGCTCTGAGCAATCATCACAACTCCTAAAAGGACACAGAAGCATTAACACCGTTCCTCTCTCCCACTTCCTGTTTATCTGCCACACAACAGGTAAGAATGTATTTACCTTTCAGAAACAAAAAACTAAACTAAACACATTAAGGATGTATTCAAAGCCAGAGGAGAAGATTCCCTACAGGTACCCAACATCAGACATAAGTGGTATTACAGGGTTTTTGCTTGCAACCACACTGAGGGTATTTTCGGGGAAAAACCTTGCCTGAGACAGCTTTAATCAAACAGCTAAACAGTACAGTGCACTCATTCATTATCAATCTTTCTGTGTTATTGTAAAAAGGAAATTTTCCATTTCAAGCTCCCAATCACTTATGTTCTTAATTTCAATGTGCACATTGTGATGAATAAAGTTGACATCTCTACAGCTTTGTGAAAAAGGGCTGCAAAAGTAGGTTTTAGATTTTTTAGTTTTAGTTTTTGTGCTCTGGTTGTATTTTCAGAAAATTGTTTGCTTGCTGTTTGTCAGCTTCTTAGTCACAGGAAATGCGTCTCTGCCTGCTCAGTGTGGTTTTGTTTGTTTTTTCTCTATGCTCTTCTCACTGGTTTGAAGGGGCAGCTAGAAAGAGGTGATGTCATGTACTTCTGAGCACCAATCAGGATTTAGATTTAAAGGGCAGTTGGTTGTTTGCTTATGTTGTCAGTCAAGTCTGATAAAAGTTTTTGAGTTTCTCTATGTTAAAATAAATAATATTTTTGGATATTGTTTCTGCTTATTTAGTCATGAATATTCTACGTAGAAAGGGGCTTTAAGAAATATATTATTCCATAATGAGCACATTTTGGAGAACTTGACCTCCACTGACCAAACTGGTTCAGTACGCCAATAAAATATTCCAAACTCAAGCTTCACTTGCTCGCCTTTCCCAGAGCTTTAAGGCAAGGGGCCAAAGTCATTGACCAGGAGTCAGTGGTCAACTGAACAAAGATCAAGGAGCTCATGTATAATTAACACCATCGTTGGTAATGAGAAATGTTCAGAAAGTCCAGGATAAAGCAGTTAAGTGAACCTAAGAATATTAAATTACATTTATATATTCCCAAGGTCAAGAGTGACCTTGCTCACCATGCTGAAGTTTTAGTATTGGTATCTGTTGCACCATCATCTCAACTGTATTGATTAATAATTTATTTCATAGAGGAAGAGGAACGGCAGAAATCACATCCTTATACTGAGTGTGTGTGTGTGTGTATGTTTCTTCTTTCCCAGAAAGGTCTTTGGAGACGGCCCATCTTTGTAATGACCACAGACTGGATGTCAGATTGACTCTACTTCATTACCCACCTCCCACACACTAAAATGTAAAATGTACACACGCTTAATAGCATAATGTAATAAATTATACATTGTTGCACGAAATTATATATATATATTATTTAGTCCTCTAAGACTGACATCACCGACTGCATGTGTGTCCTTTCAGAGCAGGACATTGATTTTATTTGATCTACACAGCATTTTTTTTTAAACTGTGAGAAGAGACAAAGGGAAGACGAGCAGCAGGCAACAATTTTTATTCATTTTTATTATTTTATTCAGTCATATATATAATGTTTAAATATTGGGTGTTTATGTTAAATGTGTTCAAATAATGAGTTCAATGCATGTAAAAGTAATTCCTATGAGCAGAAAGCTCAGGCTTCAGGCTGCTTTGAATGCAGTGTATCCAAGCTGTTTTTTCCACTTTATGCAACAAACTAACAGATGACAGAGGCCATACATCACTTTCACGTCTTCACCTACGCCCACTTCTGAGTGAAACAAGCACTGTAAAAGTGCCTAATGGTACTATGTATAGAAGGTGCATTTTGCACGTCAAAAAAAAACTAAAAAAAAACCCAGCCAGTTTACAATTTTCTTTACTTTCCTAATCAACGAAGGACAATAAAAGAAATGATCTGTGGCTTTAGGCAATCTGCAGAGAGGATACAAATGTAAACCTGTGGGACTTGGACAGTCAATATGTGTCCATCTGTGGCAAACAGGTTAGTTAATGATGTTACTGATCAAAGGGCGTATGTTTGTGTGTTTTAACTGTAGATTGAAGTGAATCAGTACAGAGTCTTAGTGATGGTGTAAGTTTTTACTGCGATAAAATATGGCCCTACCATAAAACACCCGCTGTTGAAATGGAGTTTGGTCAAACGGTCTGGAGCAGAGGGTATTTTAATCTTAATAATTCACATAAACTGAGCTGATTTACCTTCTAATGAACCTTGTAAACAGCATAAAGTAATGTAGAATGTAGAGATAGAACCGACATGTTTCCTATTTCAGTCGGCTCGTAGTAAAAGGTTGATTAATAAACACAAATGGCGATTCTACTTCGCCACAGGGATATATTTAGTTTACAGTAACGACCAAAACAGAAAAATAAAGTGTGTTAGCGACAGAAACAGTGTCAGATGTCAGAAATATTCAATGAGGTAGTTGTATATGTCAGGTCCATCCCTTGAATGGAGGCAGACTGAAAGGATACTAATCAAACCCCTCCACCCCAA